AAGTATCACCTGGGAAGAGAGAGTTCAAAAGTGTGTATTGCATCATGTCCTAAGGGTCATTACTCACAGCATAGAGGGCTAGTCATGCCTGCACACATGGGAATTGTGTTAAGAAAGGGCAAATAAAAGCTGCACCAAAGAAGAAAGTATGAGGGAGACCATTTCAGGCGGATGTGGTGGAAGAAGTTGTGTGTGCTGTGCTTGATGGCAGAATCTCCTGGGTAACAGCACTCACTTGGCGTGCTAGGCTGTTGCAAGGCAGTGGAAACTAGAATTGGAGACAGGGAGCTCAATAAGGGCCTGAGGCTGCTGTCAGAGCAAGAACAAGCTCCAAAGGAGGCTTAGTGTCTGCAACAGTAGCAGCAGGATGTTGACATACAGGAGGATGCTGAAGGGGCCTTTGCCCCGGGGATGGAGATATGAGTCATGTAACTCTCTCCTGAACCTGCTGGTACTGGAAAGCCCCTTGTTAAGCAGCCTGGACCAACTAACAGGGCTGTTTAATATCTTCATTGAAATGGGAAACCTGTTTCCGTTAGTATGGCAAATACTCCATTTTTACCGGTATTAAAAATTACAAGTTTGCATTTCTATTAGTTGCAGTTCTAACTTACTGTTTATCATTTCAATCTTGCAAGAATCTATTATATGGCATTTGCAACTAAAATAATTATTTAAAAACAGTCTTCACAGGTGACCTTAATCAAATTTTTAAATTTTTTTTCTCATTTAGTCAAGGAACTTTATAAACATTTAGTTTTAAAAGCCTGACAATCTGTGAGAAAGTATTGATTTTCACTGCATTGTATTTGCTAGAAGTTTGAAGTTATAACGAGAATCTGACTTTATGAGAAATTTTTGCATACACTAAGGAAAAATTATTAGACACTTAATTTTCTTCACTTGGTACATAGTGGAATGATCACATATACATGTGATAAGAAATTAACAGTCTCTTAAATGCTCCTAGTTAATATAACGAGTCTTTCTGTGGGTATAGTTCTGTCTTTTACAGGAGAGAGAAATTCTAGTACTTTGGAACCTAACATATACCCAACTAAATATAATACTCTTGGGGTGTGTATATGGATATGTATGTGTATACATACATATGTGTGTGTGTGTGTGTGTGTGAACATACGAAAGGTCAGCCTTGACGTTTCTTCAGCATATATATCTACTGATCTCCTGACAATTCCCAATTTCTCTCGCCTTTTTTTTGGTAAAGAGAGTCAGTCCAAATCAGCCCTATTACCTTGTTTGTGTAGTTTAAGTCATCAGACTACGGACTAGAAATAACATCATGTGAATCATTGGGAAAAAAACCTCAAAAGAGCTGTAACAGATTCAGCTCCTGAGCTGTTCCTTTCTGTCCATCAAAAATATATCATTTGCTGTTTTGCAAATACTTGTGTATGCAAGAGTCTCCTTCAGGGTAGTTAGATGACTCATGTGCATAACATTAAACACAGATATTGCAGCAGTGAAGTCTTGTTTACTGAATTCCACTTACAAGGCCTTGTAGTTACATCTGTGCATGACTAGCCCTGGCACAGGTGTAACCTGTTTCACAGCTTAGCCTGTAGAAGCATTTGTTCCACAGAGACAATCTTTTATTTTCAGTGATAGGCTACTGGAGGAAGTTTGTGAGGATCATAGTCAGGTAATGACCTTTGTAAAATGACATATTTATATGGATTATCTAAGGATAGTGGAAGCATAGACAAAATAATAGGCTGTGACTTAGCCTATATTTCCAAGTTGTATTTTCCAGAGAATTAGGTAGGTCGGGGTATTCCTGTTGAATGGTCATTTGTTTTTCACTGTCATATGTAGCTGGGTGTTTCCCATTTTGAGCAACAGAGATAAAGAAAGCTATCTTATTGTTTTGTTATTATTTGCAATGATACTAATGGGAAGCCAAGTAAAATGGAGGAAATCGAATTTTGTTTGTGGACTGCTATAGAAACAAAGCTGAAATGATTTATGTTTTAACTGATTGCAAAGGTCCCTATCCCGTAAACACTTTGGCTCCAAAACTGCAGTTTGTGGCAGGCTGCTGTGTTCCCGTGCTGAAACGAGCAGGGTTCTGCATGGATTCACTTGTCTGCCCATGTGCTAGTGCTTGCTGACTTGGGGCCTAACGCACATGCTTAACTTTATGTGCATTAGTCATGCCATTGTACTCAAATGGGAGAGATGACTTCATGAAATAGCTACATCAGGAATATATGATACATTATCATTGTCTATGTCTACAAGCATGGACAACAAATATGCTTTGCAGTGCAAGCTGAAGCTGAAAGACAGATTCAAAGGATAAGAAACTTTAATATATAGGCAAATTAATATGGTGAAGGAGTAGCAGCTCTTTAAGGTGCAATACTGTTTTGGGGCATGATTCATTTTTTTTAGGGGACGGGGGGAAGCCAACAATGAGTATGCTTTAAAAAAGGTTACCAAGGCACTGCTGAGGAATATTTTTGGCAAGAGTATACTTTTATACTTTATATGCTTACATACTTTTAAAATGCAAAACAAATTTACTTCCATTCAGAGAATGGCCATATCTGCAGGAGATAGATAGTGGATGTCTTTGCCTATAATACACTTCCATACCTTTGAAATGCAAAATGTGAAAAAAGATATTTTATAGAGCTTCATTGAATGTCTTGAAGTTATAAATGGTACTGTCTTGAAGGTATAAATGGTAAATGTCTTTGCATCTTTATTTTCTCAACTGGAGACATTCTGAGTTTTGTCACAGCTGTAGAATGGTTACATACAATCATATAATAATTTAGCACTGCTTGTACCAAAATGTATTTTGTACCCAGTTGTACAAAGCTTGTAATTATTATGTTAGGACAATACTCAAGTGCAATATTCTGTCATGATAATTTTATCTAATGAATGCTGAAAAAGATGTACTCTTTTACATTACTTAGATTAATCCAAACTCTAGAAAGAAAATTTCTCAACCTTGAGTTTTCCTCCATGTTTACATCTCTGTAGTGTGTTCTTTTTTCTGCTCAACTCAGGGCCACAATTAAAGGTCACTTTTTGATTTTGTGTGTTGTGATTCAGTATATGTGAATCAAGCTAATCTAGGTAACTTTAGCAGTTAGAAGCAACTGCCCTCGGAAAGGGGAAAATTAAAAATACAGGAGAACTTTCTGCACCTATAAAGGAGGGAAGAACAATCTATCCTACATGAATATGCGATTCCATGTTTTCTTGTGCTATAAATGCAACAATGGACAAAGTGTCAGTTGCTTTCCTGTATACAGCTGTTATTCACTCATAAATCCGGTTCCAGTATTCAAACAGGTATAGGTATTAACTGTACTAAGCTCCTCTATGTCATCTTTTTAGTTTGTACCTCAATGCAATGTTGGGTATTTTTTTTCCCTCCAAAGGCAAGTATCATCTTCCCCCCCCCACCCCCCCTGCCAATGAGGCAATTGGGGCATGCGATTTTTTTTTTTTCCAAGGTCCCAGAAACCCCAAACCCAAGGCCCTAGACTTGAAACTTCGGTAGAGGAGTAGAGTACAGCTAGTAGATTTTGCAGCTCACTGTATAAAATACTCGCATCGTACATATGTATTTTGTGTTGAAACACCAAAGTTATTTTGCAGGTGTATTTCAGTAGTCTGCTTCTTTCTTTTATTTACTTGGTGTACTTTGAACTATGGCTTTGATGTGATTCTACCGCATGTATGCGATACGGACACAATTAGATTTTTAAAGAAGTTCTGGTGCCGACAGATAGACGCACTATTGGAAGTTTGGTGGCTACATACCTGGCCTAAAGTCTCCATCCTTTTTCACAACTCTGCATGGGCTGTCAACAAGACTACTACTATCTTAGATTTGGTCCTAAGGGAAGACAAATCTCTTGTGAATTTTTGGATACGTACCCTAGTGAATGTGGAATTAGCTATTGGTATATCTGTGCCTACATACAATTACTCAGAGCAGTAGGACCTGAAGTTCTGAGAGGCTAGAGGCTTAACTTACTAAGTCCTTGGTATCTGAAGGTGCAGAACTGAGGTGCAAGGCGATTACCATCCTATGTGTACCTATCTCTGAGAGTGGAGAAATTTCAGGGCAGAATTGGATGAAAAACATCACATAGGCATTGTAAATGATTAAGAAAATTGGAGCTTAAATATGAACTCAATTCTCAAATTCACGTGACAGTTTCAGTGTAGCAGAAATATTTAGGTTTCTTGTATCTGTGCATTTGAAAAACAGATTATTCTAGTCTCTTAGGTTAGATATTAGACAGTTTGGAGCTTCAACTGATAAAATGGTAACAAGCACTGTTTAAAAAAAACAAAAACAAACAAAATAACCTAAGCTAAACAGATACTTCTTACTCCTGCAAATTTCTCTTACAAATTACTCAAGCTCTAATCTGATTTATCATCCAGCAAATATTCTTGAAAGAGATTTCTTGCATGCATCTCCAGTAATAACAACACCTATTACATAATGCCTTAAAAACAGTATACATACATTGAGGTAATAAGCCTCACAATCAGTCACTGTGGCAAAGAGTAAATTATCTTTATTATCCCCATTTCACAGGAATAGAGTTGGACACAGAGGTAAAAGAGTTTATTAGAGGTCAAGCACAAGATATTATCAGAACTAGGGTTAGCACTAAGGATTTTCCAGTGCTGTTCATATACTTAGACCACTTGATATAGCTACTTCATTTGTCCTTTTACTCGAATATAAATGAATTTGTTATGACAAGAATGTTAAAGAGCCAAATATCTGAAACATTAATGTGTAATTATTTTTGTGTCCTGACATCTATAAAATGAATGATTCATTTTCTCTTGGTAGATAAGCACACATCTGCATTAGTGCATTGCACGTAGAATGAAAGAGAGATTTTTGTCCTTTAAAGTTCTATTTAAACTGGAAAAATGAGCACACTTTACAACAAACATCTTTTTCTAATGTGCCTAATAATTCTATGTTTCAGAGCAGTATGTGGCTACTGACTTATCTTCTTGAGGAGAATGACTGAGATGTCTGTTTGGAATTATTCCTGGAATTAGACCAGCATGAGGTCTCCTCTGCCAATCTAAGGTAATACCCCTGAAAGGCAAGAAATCCAAAGTGATGTATGTCCGACTGACTGTTCGTTGACAATGTCAAGCCTGGCAAAAGTTCTATATGCCTGAAGCCAAAAAAGCCAGGAGAATGGGTAAACCTGGGGACATCATCTCTCTGTGAGGAATAGTAAACATTAATTCCTTTCTGAGAGATGTTTAGTCAACGAAACCAAAGGTTTCTCTAGGTGATGGACAGGTTTTACTAACAATAATAATGCAGACTTCTGTCACAGTGAAGCACCTTCTTGAAGTTGGTGTGAAGATTTACTAAGAAGTTATTTACCTAACAACACACAGAATAATGGCAAATACAACAGCATTGTTGCTTCCAGTTAATTTGTAGAACCCTTACAACCCTCAGATCCCATTAAAAGAAAAACAGACAGTTTTAAATGAGAGTATGGACAGTTAATCATACACAGTCTGTTACTGCAAGGACCTAAGCTTCCTGTTAAAGAAAATGATTGGATTCTGCTTTCCCTTAATGTGGTGTACATCAGGAGAGGTTTCAGTTACAATCATTTTATAGTAGGGTAAGCCTGATATAAAATGAGGGCAGAATCAACCCTGCTGGGACTTACACACATAAGTAAGGCAAGTATGATTTGACAACGATATGCATGAAAACTAATTTGATTGTTTAAAGAAAACATTTTCAAAAGAACATTTTAAAGCAATTGGAGCTGTAAAGCAGCAGCATATACACTGAGGTTTGAGGTATATCTGTCTCATTCTGCTTCCTTGAGGTTACATAAATTATGTATGCCCTCTTCACTTTGGATAACAGTCTGGTCTTGAAAAGATATTAATTATTATGTAATAACGTGCACTAATTGTTTCTCCCTTTAGAGTATTTAAAAAATTGGTTGTGTTGACAATAGTAAAGGATAATGAAAGGTTGTTAAGATGTCTGTAGCGCAAAATGAAATACTCACTGCTTCTGCTGATAATTTTGGTGAGACAAAGTCAGTATGATTTTTTTTAATGATATTATGCGTATGTTATGCTTTTGTTATCTTTTGTGAAGGGGTAACCCTCACATTTTCTCTCTTATACAACCTAAAAAACCTCCATCAAGGCATTCAAATTATTATCAAATAACACATTAAAATATCCGAAAACATATTACAAACAATACACAAATCTTTCATGTTCAGAAATCTCATTTACTTCAAAGGTCTGACCTCATTTCAGTGAGAGCACTGTAAACAAAGGGCTGAAAATCTATGTTTTTAATAGTAAAGCCATCCTGATTCCAAAAATACAGACAACAAAAATCAAACACATTTTAAGAAAAAGCTTGAACAAAGGTATTTTTCTCACCTTTATCAGATGTTTCATTTAGCTATCAAAAATTCGTGTATATGCAGGTTAATATAAGGTTAAACGTCCTAGGTACTAGAACTCACTTGTGAGATCTTTTATAGGTGTATTGACATCTCTTTAAGACGAGTGCTGCCTTAGTGTACATGCAGGTATTTTCCAATAGCTGTCACAACTGCGTGCTTGTTGCCAAGTCAAAATATGTCCCAATACTATATATAGTTAGCGTTGTTTAAAAGAATTATGTACATAATGATATTTATATATATGTGTATGTACATCCCTCTCTAAATTCTAGAGTTCTCTAATTCTAGAAGTAAATTAAATACTTAGATTGTTTTGAGGTGCTTTCTTAAAGGATACATTATTCTGTGACATAAATGCCATGTCAATCTCTTAGTAAGAGAGAGACATCATTTAAACAATATTTTATTAAAGTGCAACAAAATATTATTCTCTTCTGTACGAGTAGCACCGCTCTTACTCTATGAAAACATTAATGAGATCTTAGACTGATTTTGATGCTCACTTTAGTCTTTTGTTAAATATGCAAAACTAAATTACTGATCTTTTATGGTACGTGCTAAAAACAATGGTAACTAGCATATCTAGAACAAGGTAAAAGGAAGTATCCTAGAACAATGTAGCTCCTTGGAGAGTAGGGAATACCTTCATTTAAGTACTGAGTGCATACAGGAATGCAGGTTACCTTACAGAGCTATAGCTCCACCACTGCTCCGCAGGAGAGATTTGATGAAGTTCTATCTAAATACCAGTGCAGTCCTATCTTAACTCCTGGGGATACAGTAAGGATCAACAAGCTAATCAACAGCATCTTGTATGCCTTACCTCTGCAAAATAGTTTGGACAGGATAAATTCGGTGCTCAGTTCAGCTGGGCTGACTTGGATCAATAAGAAGGCTGGATTTGTTGTGGTATTTCTTCAGCTTCTGAAGAAGTGTGATAACACTAGCATAGAGTTTTTTTTGATAAATTACCTGTAGGTATTTTATCTGCTGCTGCTGTTCCTTCTAACTCTGTTTCTCTTGGGCCTAAAGAATCTTGAGTGTTTCTTTGCAAAGTGGGACATCTTGAACAATAGTGAAGAGTTGCCCTCACCCAAGAGCAGCCCGCTCCTTGTATGTGGGGCAGGTTCTGACTTTCTGACCAGAGGCAGCCAATAATATGGACAGGGGCAAGGACTTGCATGGAATTTAGGCTGGCTGAATCCAGGCCAATTTCAATCTATGTAACTCGTTCATTCTGACGTCTCTTCTGAGCCTGCAAAATAGGTCAGTCTAGTGGTGAATTTGTGAGGCACGTGATTGGAGAAGAACTGAACTCATTCCAGATAAGGCTACTTCCTCAAAAAGTAAGAGTCCACAGCAAAGTTCTGACCTCTCTGGAGGTCACATAAGCAGAATCTTCCACTCTCTAAGCTGACAGATACAACCTACCACTTACTGCTTTTAACCTTCTTTATGAAATGAAATGGCCCTGTAATGAAATGACCTCCTGTGTTCTGAAAAGGATAGATCTTTAGTAACCAAGATGAAAGCAAATGGTAAAATATCAGCAGTAACCCAAAGTTACTTATGTAGTGTTTCACATCATAAACACTTTTCAATTTTAATTAATTAGTTATAATCAGTTATAACCATTGTAATAATTCTTCCAAGGCCTACATGTTACTTGAACAGGGACTTCTTTTGTCATCATTTTACAGAAATAATGTGGTATATATTTAAATGTATATGGCTGGCATAAAAAGAACAACAACTCCTTCTCCTTTTATGAAGACCTCAGGAAAATTGTAGGTTTGGAAGTTTTGTAGTAAATCAATATACTAAAAGTCTCATTAAAAGAGAATTCTGCACAGTCAAGCCTTTAAAAGTTTGAAAATACAAGAATTAGTTTCCTTTGTAACCATTATGATACTGTCTTTGATCACATACTGTTTTTCTCACACGTTCAATCAGCACAGTTTAAAGGTAAGATCTTCAAAGCCGTAGCCCAGGTTTCTTCCATTTGAGTGAACGGAGTACCCATTAACTGAGGTCAGATACTTTTATGTATGTAGGCAGCTCTCAGAGAGAAATACAACATGTACTTTGCCTCTGAGTAACACAACAGAGACAGTGGTGAAGTACAGGGTATTGCTGGGCTCTATTGCTACAGCTCAGTGTAACGCATGCTCTAGCAGCAGTAACAACCGTCCCAAGGAAGAACATAGATTTGGTACAACCAGCATGAAATCCGTTGTGACTGAAATCTAGATTCTATTTGTAGCTCTACAGAAAGTGAACTTCTGTAACTCTAGGATGTTTTATTTGCAAAATGGATAGTTGTTTGCTACCTGGGAAAGGAGTACCAAGCTCTACTGAGAAATAAGGTCTGTAAACTAAGCAGAAGTTTTCTGAGTGCAATGGAAAAGCAATCAGAATAGACCGTTTGCTTCCTGAATCCTACCTAAGTGTGTTTTCCTTTAGCAAATTAACTTTTTACATTTTGTGTGTGTTTTTTTCTGTTAGTGCTATAAATATGTATATAGTATGCATATAGAAGTAAGTACAAGAGAAGACAGAAAATGGTCCATTTTTAAGTAAACAAGAATAGCCTTTGAGAGGTCTGTCGCAAGATTGAATTTCAGAGATGCCGCTGTCAGTACTAGCTCAGTCTCTGTACTAAAATATATTTATTAAAAAGCTAAAAATCTTGTTTTCCTTAGGAATCCTGTTTAAGATATTATATACAACTAAGGTAGTAGGGCAGTCATTAACTGATGTTTACTAATTCCGTATCCGTGATCCAGTGTATCATGGCACCGTGTTTCTTCTTAATAGCTCAGCCACCATCAACTTGAACTTCTGAAAAATGACAGTGTAACTGTTAAGGGCCGTGTTTGAATCCAGGCTAATACCAGGCTTCAGTGATAGTTATGCATCACTAGAGAGAAATGGCAGCATTTTTTTGGATAAAAATACCTGGTTCTGCACTTTAGAAAAATGTCAGCACCTACTTACATAAAGACAGTATCATTTGCTTTTATACAATATTTTTTTCTAATATATTGTGTGAGTACAAATTTTATTTCTGAAATTTGCAAAAATTATGAAAATCCATTTATATGGTTTTAACAATAGCATGTAAAAATCTATGCATCTGGATGAATATTTGCATACGTATAAATAAGGGTTAGATTCTGTCAGCTAGAACTTCAGTATCGCTTCTACCCACTCTCACCAACAACATAAGGGAGGATGACAACAACTGCAAGGCAGAGCCTGTCAATACCAGAAGCACTGATTCTGGAGCAAGTCAGTCAATCCAAGAGAAGAATCAACCTGGTGTGGAAACCAAAGAAAATCCAGTCCAACTCATCTCCCTGTTTATAAACTGGCAAGCTTCAGAGTTAACTTCCAAGTGCCTAAAGCTTTTCACTTAGTTTTTGCATGAAAGGCTGAATACCTTGCACCTCTTTAAAGGAATATTTGTTCACATTTTTAAGTGATTCCATGTAATTTGCTCCACTCATCTGTATATGAATATTGTAAGGCAGTAGTTTACTGAAAGAAACAGTCACTATAACAGCAGATTTTGAACAAATACTACCAAATATTCATGGAAATAAAACTTCTCATTCATACTCAT